AATTTCCTCTAAATTGATAACCTCTATTATATTATAAAATTTCTCGATCTTAACCCAAATTGATAGGATGAATTATCTTCAATAAATTAATATTCTCGATTATATAGTAAAATATTCTCATTCCAACCTTATTAATTTATAAAGATTATATTGTGTTTGTAATTGCATAAACGTATCGCATGAAGTATTTTTATACATATTCACGCATTAAATAAATAGATAAAAAATTCGATACCCATTTAATCGAATTCTTTTATTAGGTCTCTTAGTCCGAAATTTATGTATATCTTAGTTTAGGTGGGATGTCGCAATCTTTGTCTCTTGTCCTAATATGATTTTTGATGAGGGTACTTTGATTTGAAGTCTCTATTATGGGTCCAAACTATGGACTCGATAAAATTTAGGAGAATTGGGAGTCTATTTTAGGTCAATAACTATAGTTTACAAGTCAATTAATTATAGTTGACACTTGTTAGTGTTGGCAAACTCGATTCACTAACAATGATTATAAACGCTCTTCAGTTGAGATTGTCATCTAGATGACGATACTTGTAATTAGATTGATGTAAGTCGCATAAGTTGATGGTTAGTGTTATTGAATAATGACGGAATTGATAACCGACTTTAAATGATGAGTAAATTGTATCAACTATTTATCTTTGGTACTGCAGGATTGCAACAACTATCAGGTGGATAGTAATTAATGATCGATACAAGTAATTGCCTCGAAGGCGAATGACTTACAAATGCTGTTGGAATAAAAATAAAAAAATGATTTGTTAAGTATTTGACATCGTAACAATTTTACAATAAAATAAAATAAAATAAAAATCGGAAGAATGTTCACGGACGGAGTTAGAATTAGATTTCAAGGTGGATGTGATGTCTCGATAGTAACACGTAAGTCAAGATTGCTTCATCCCCGACAAGAAAGGAAAAAGACTCGTTCACATAACATGTAAACAACTTTTTTTAAAAAAATACTTATACTTAACTTATGTAGGTTGAGTGTTGTCCGAAAAAGAACATACACTAAATTTGACTTGTAACATCTTGCCAAAATGTAATAGGGAATCGGGATTTCTTGTTTTGGTGAACAATGGATTTTTTCGCTATCAAATTAGATCTATTTATGACTGCAGAATCGCCAAATAATCAACAAAATACTTTGAGTCTAAAGGTAAACTATATTAGAAGCGGTAGAACGGGTTGTATCGAACACATTTTTGAAGTGTGGCTCGTGATCTATGTGAGTTGTTTTTCATATACTTGAAAATAAAAGAAAATTTGATAAAATTATAAGAGTAAAATCTTACGAGACAAATGATATCAATTTAAGCTTCCTTTTAGACGAAGAGATGAAATTATTTTATCCTTTTGATATATCCATCAAACACGGCCGGTCTCACACCTCAATCGGTATCCTTGTGCCATTAAGCTCTTATTTGATGAGGATTAAAATTAATTTTTTAATAAATTTTAATAAAATTGATCAAATGTGTGGTTTAAAAGTTATGGACTTATGAAATATGTTATTTTCAAATTAATTGTTAATTTTGTAAATTAGATTTTAGTTCCTACTAATAGGGATTAAATATATATGTTTTGTAAAGAAAGAGAGGTATGAAACAATAGACATAATTAATTATAGCCACCAAATATTGCAGCTTCACATCAATTATATTGTCCCATTAACTCACCCTGTCAAATCAATTAATTATTTCCAAAATATATATAAAAAAATTATTATGGTTTATTCTCACAAAGGAAAATGTTTTCCCAAAATTAATCGAATAATGTTATTTGCAGTCACTCGCTGCAGCAGTCGCCTTATATGGCACACACATGTTAAATGTGTATTTAATGCATTAATGTGGTCAAAAAACTATCATATTAATGCATCAAATAATTACATGTCATGCGTGTGCCACATAGGGCGACTGCTGCAGTGAGCCCGACTATGAATAGCATTACTCAAATTCATTATTGTCACTATTAAATATTGATAGCGTTGTCAATAAATAGTCTTTGCACTCTCCATTCACAAAATTGATTAATTAAAATTTCCAAATAGAATAAGAAATTTCAAATCAAACATCGATGACAAAGAAACGCAATATATAGATTCCCATAAGGTCGATGCTTCAAGAGTTTGGAAGAAATATCAATTGCATATTCGGTATTTTTGGCTGGAAGATTAACTAAAAAATTTATCTCACGTATCTCTGTTAGATCACGTCTCTCATAAATAGATGAAAAAACCAATTTGTGTCAATGAGCATAGTAGAAAGTCAATAATGCATTAAATTCTTCGTCACACCAAACAATCAAACACGACTTGAACAAAATTCTAAATCAAGCATTAAAATCTCACAACCATTTCTATAATTCTCTAAATTACCCTCTAAAAGACCAAAAAAACTAATTGTACAAAAAAAATTTTGACAAAAAAGTTGACACACTCTCATATGATGCTGGCCCCACATGTATAAAGAATTGGGAAAAAAAATGCGGGCCCCCCATGTGAGGGGCCTGTCAGGGTGTTTGTCACCCTGACCCGATACACCAAGGACAGTTCCTAAAAGATTCCCTCTCCCCCAATACAAGAAATACTCAACGATTCTTAAGCACACATAGCATAATCATTCAATCAATCATCATCATCATAATTCGAAGTATAAATCACTCAAATCATGACATATCAGATATTGAGTAAGTAATAGAATAAAGTGCAGGTCGTTCGACTCACTTAGCATCAAGGTGTCGTAGTTTGAAAAAATTATGATGATTTTATATGCACAAATAATATGATCATCTATATAAATCACGATATCTAGACCCATTGTTTCTCTATCTTGCTGACTCAGTGTTGGATGTGTCGCGATTTGAATTATTCTAGGTTCTGGATTCAAAGTGACATGANTGATCATCTATAAAAATCACGATAGCTAGACCCATTGTTTCTCTATCTTGCTGACTCAGTGTTGGATGTGTCGCGAGTTGAATTATTCTAGGTTCTGGACTCAAAGTGACATGATTTAATTTTGAGTAAACGATTCTGCCAGCATGCATGTAAATTAGTCTCACTTGAATATTTTATGCATTCCATAGAGGTTAATTCTGTCATTTCATTTCTTATCCTCCCATTTAAACAAAACCGCCCCTCACCCGTCACCCCCCACTCCGCGTCACCCCACCCAACCAAACAGAGAGATATCAGATATAGATATATAGAGGCCTATATATATATATATATATACGTGCAGATATAAAATATACATACAGAAATAATTCTTGCCCTGCAGAAGTGAACCACCATGTCTCTACCGAAGCCTGAAACCACCACCACCCCTTTTCCATCAATTGAAAAATGTGATATCTCCGCCGTGAGCCGCCACCACTCCATAGCGGCGGACCTCGATGGCACCCTCTTAATCTCCCGCTCCTCCTTCCCCTACTTCATGCTCATCGCCATCGAAGCCGGTAGCCTCCTTCGAGGTCTAATCCTCCTCCTCGCTTTCCCTCTGATTGCCATTGCCTACATATTCGTCTCTGAATCCTTAGCCATCCAAATGCTCATTTTCATCGCCTTTTCGGGGCTCAAAGTACGCGATATCGAGCTCGTCTCGCGGGCCACGCTTCCAAGATTCTATGCATCAGATGTTAGACAAGAAAGTTTCGAGGTGTTTGATAAGTGTAAGAGAAAAGTGATCATCACTGCTAATCCAACTATAATGGTGGATCCATTTGTTAAAGATTTCTTGGGAGGTGATAAAGTGATTGGGACTGAAATTGAAGTGAACCCTAAAACCAAGAAAGCTACAGGGTTTGTGAAGAAACCTGGGGTTCTTGTAGGAAAATGGAAAAGATTATCTTTGTTGAAGGAATTTGGGGAAGAAAAACCTGATATTGGGATTGGAGATAGAAAATCCGATCATGATTTTATGTCCATTTGTAAGGTCAGTTTTTCTTACAATTTCTTGAATTTGTTAAAGTAGTAAATATGCAGTTTTTATGCAGTTTTTTTTTTTTAAATAGATTGCAGTGGTTTCTTTTTAATTCGTTAGCAGTAACAGTACATTTCTTGATATTGCTCAGTTGAATTTATAAAACCAACTTCTTGATTGAGAATTTCTGTGTAAATTTAATTATAATTATAATTTAATGTAAGTATTACAAGCTTAAAGAATTTGATTTTGATCTGTGATATTATTATTTTTCATAATAAAAAAACTAATATTTCTTGATTTAGGCTATAATTTTATTTCTTGATTTGTACTGGTAATATCTTTAATTTTATTTGCTTAATTTTCTAGACTCACTTTATTGTTCAAACATTAATTACTTGAGGGCCTTGTAATTAATGAAGTAGTTGAGGAAACTAATTAATTTTTTTGTTTTAAAAGTAGTTGAGGTAATTAATTAATTGGACTGTTGCCGTTGAAAAATAAGGGTCCATAGCATTTACTATAGCGAACTGTCATGCAGCAGAAGCCTAGTGAAAGAGCTAGGCATGTGTTAGTACTTGTAAAGATTAATCCCCCGTTTGGCAGGACATCTGCTTCTTGTAGCTTTTAACTTCGTCTAAAAGAAGTACATCGAAGTTCGAACAATTGCTATTTGAATCGAGCAGTTCTAAGAAAATCAAGCTAGTTTGCATTGTTTATAAGCCTTCTGTAATTTCAGTTGCATTCAATGATAGGATAAAGTTTCAATAGATTTTGATGATATAGTTTAACCTATGCTCTACAGGAGGGATACATGGTGCACCCCAGCAAAACATCTAAACCGGTGCCGCTTGATCGCTTTAAAAGCCGATTAATCTTCCATGACGGTCGATTAGTCCAACGTCCGACTCCACTCAATGCACTCATCACCTACATTTGGTTGCCATTCGGATTTATTCTCTCATTGATTCGAGTATACTTCAATCTTCCATTGCCAGAAAGGATTGTTCGTTACACGTATCGTATGCTCGGAATCAACCTTGTGATCAAGGGTAACCCGCCTCCACCACCCTCCACTGGGTCCCCAGGGAACCTCTACGTGTGCAACCACCGCACCGCCCTTGATCCCATCGTTATTGCCATTGCGCTTGGACGCAAAGTTTCCTGTGTGACTTACAGCGTTAGCAAGTTATCACGCTTTCTGTCACCAATCCCAGCTGTGGCCTTAACACGTGATCGTGAGGCTGATGCTGCCAGGATCAAGGCATTACTCCAGAAGGGCGATTTAGTCGTTTGCCCCGAAGGGACAACGTGCCGGGAGCCTTATTTGCTGAGATTCAGCGCTTTGTTTGCAGAGTTGAGCGACAGGATTGTACCCGTGGCAGTGAACATTAAGCAAAACATGTTCCATGGCACGACAGTACGAGGTGTGAAATTCTGGGACGCTTACTTCTACTTCATGAACCCCCGGCCCACGTACGAGATCACATTCCTTGACCGGCTACCAGAGGCGATGACATGCAAGGCTGGTAAGTCGTCGATTGAGGTTGCCAATCATGTGCAGAAGGTCTTGGGTGGTGCTCTTGGATTTGAGTGCACTCAATTGACTAGGAAGGATAAGTACTTGCTGCTTGGTGGCAATGATGGGAAGGTGGAATCCATGTATTCCAAGAAATGAAATGAAATTGAATCAAATTCTCAGTAATTTGATCATATCCTAATGAGAGATCAAATCTTGATTTGATGAAAGATCAGGTTTGAGTAGGCAACCTTAATGGGGTCAATTGTTGTTTTTAGCAATGTGTATTTGTTTGTGTCTTAAAACTGCTTATGAATTCTGATGTTGCTGCTGCAGCTTCATATTGATGTAGTAAAATTTACTATCATTTCTTGATGATGCTTTGAATTCGAGTATTTCATAGAGTACGGTAAATTCTTACACCATGTCTGGTATGTAGTATTTAACTAACTTTTCTTGTCTAGTATTGTTTAGACTATTGATCCATGAGCCATTAGGTTTCAACTACTGTTTCAGAGAGGGCGTTAGATAGACTTATCGGCAAGAATAATGTTATTCAACAATTCAGGTGATATTATAAGATAGGTTCAATAAAAGTTGAAATTAAGTGAATCATTTAATTATACCTTTAATCTTAATTGGTTTCAGCACACGTTTATACAAATAATTTTATATGAGTGCTCAGTAAATTATAGACTAGCTCGAAAATGTTTGCTTTCAAGGATATAATCAACTCCGCAAATATTGACCAACCGAATTTTGGTCTATTAATTATACATGTCACTTCTTGGAGGTATATTCAATGTCGTGTTGAATAAGGTACAGTTGGTAGTTACATCTGCCTACTGGTATTATTATGTAGATTGGTAAAGAACCGTTGGAGTTGGTGAGAGGTTTCAAAACTTAATGCTTAGTGGATAAATGTACGAACAATAAATTTGAATAGTTTGATAGGTCAAATGCGGTATCGGAGTGTTTTATTGACTTGTCTCGTAAACTAAACAATACAAAACACAATTTGAGGAAGTGTTAAGGGTCCGTTCTCTTTACCATTTTCAAGCCGTTTTCTATTTTCGATTTTTCAAAATAGTGAAAACGCGTTCTCTTTCCTATTTTTGAAACGCATTTTTGAAAACAAGTTAAAAATTTACAAAAAAAAATCCAAAACGATAAATTTGTCGTTTTGGGTGTTTTCAGTTATAATCAAGTCAAAATTTTCAAAACGAGTTTTGAGTGTTTTCAAAATGTCAAAAAGAACATATTTTCAATAATCTTAAAATAAATACTCAAAACACAAAACTCAAAATGAATTCAAAACTCAAAACTGAAACAATTTTTTGGTGGTTTATTAGTGAATCAATGCACATATTCACTTGAGTTTGGAACCATTTCATATGGGATGTTTGGAAACTATAAACACATTATAGTTTTCATTCCAAAATATAATAAAAAAATTCATTCCATTATTCATCCAAAAAACCTTGAAGAAATTTGGTCACTTTAAATAATCAAATTTCCATTTTTTTTTTCACTTGTTGACCTTGAAGAAACACTTTGCTTTTGGTGTTCTTCAATTATGTTTGATTAATCCTACAAACTATTTGCCAGTTTCAATCCTTAAAAGGATTGTGGAGGAAATAAATATCATTTGAGGACAACAATACATTTTTCGTGTTAAAGTTTTCATCCTTCTACATATTCATCTTATTCGTTGTTTTTTTTGTCTCCTTCGCAGCTTCGCTGTATCTTATTCTTTTTTGAGAAAAACATACTCTTACCATTTGTTACTGCAAAACATTCTAATAGTATGTGACCGTTGGTTTTGTTGTAGCCTACAAAATCGTACTCTCAACTTCCAAAGTGTGCCATAATAAGCCGAATATCCAAGAAGAACTAACGATTAACAATTGTATTGCCTCCTTTATTTTACTTAAGGGTTAATCCATTTGTACATAATGAATTACCCCCTCTCACATAATGCGCATTGGCCTGCGTGTATTTAAAAATTTCAACAATGTGGTCCACATCTCCATTGTGAGTAGTAGGTAAAAGATTCGGTAAAAAAATTAAATACATGTAGCATGATCCTTCACTTAATCGTATCTTTTATTTTGCTTGTATCCTATATAAAGTGGTAATAATCAGCTTGATTTTAAGTAAATGAAATAGAGAAATTTTTCAATTTTGTGTCGATTGTTTTGCATTCAATCTTGAATCCACAACTTGTGGTTATCAAATTTCCAGGTATTCATAAAATTAATGGGTCTTTGAACGTGTTCTTCATTTCTTTATGCTTCCAGCTACGTCACTTTTGCATTTCCAAGTTTACTTCCTCTTTCTTTTCTGATAGCTGTAGGAGATATTACACCGATAATGTGCATATTATATTAGTCAAGAACATACCGTGAAATCGAAATATCATTCGATTTATCGAAATCTGATTTGAGAAGATAAAATAGCGATTTACCTATTTCGAATATAATAATATGAATTCTTCACTTCCCAATATGAGTGAACGCATGTTGTTATTCAATTCAAACCCTTCAATAAAACACATAAATAAATTA